ATTATTTTACAATAAACATCACACAATAAATTACTATAAAATAATATTTAAACGAAACAATTCATATCATATGGGTAACAAAAATAAAAACATGCCATGTGCTTATATGTACATATAAATTAATAGGCGCGTATGTGTGTGTGTGTGTGTGTGTGTGTGTGTGTTAGTAACGAAAATTATAGGTACGTTTTTTCTTGCAAATACTGCAGCATGCACATCATGTTCACAATTATGTATCACAAAAGAACGTGGTAACTTGTCTTTCGCCGATAATTGTTTGATCACCGGTTATCATATCAAAAACCTGTTTATAAACTAAAAATCTAATGAGTACTCTTCATAACATTGTACGATGTTTTGAATCCCCGTATTACCTGCAATGCAGGTAAATAAGTGCACATTATATWATACATCCATTCAAGTGCATTGAGTTGACCATAGTCTTCTGTATAAATACCATACACAAATAAAATTATTATAATACACCATCGTCTAAATTGACAGCTTGTAAAGTATGGCGAAAATATATTGCGTGATATTATATTTAATAACCCGATAATCCTTAAATTACTATATTTTGTCGATAAATTATACATTTTAACATCAAGAATAGTACTATGAAACGTTCAAATTTTACATGCAAACAGTGTAAAGACGTAGTGTATTGTAGTATCCAAAATTGCCGTTARAATAATATAATAATAATATACGCCGATCTAACCTACTGGCTACTGTAGAGGCTCAAAATAAGTAAAATGAAGCATTTCTTGCCGATATACGAAGGTATATTATTATAATAGGTTAGTGCACATGTAATATTGTATTATTATACCGTCATGAAAAAAACTTTTTGAAGGTGTACTTTATAATATAGCTTCGGTAAACCATAATAATTTTATCATACACGTCGTACAGCATAATTTAACCTTCGTGATAGACAGATTAAAATAATAGTATGCGGACAGTAATTAATGTTAGAACTTCATCGACGACGCGCGACGGCGGCGGTGTGGATGAGCTACCATATTTGACCTGGTCCACCTTTGGGATCTAACCCCAGCGCGATTGTAGCCAGTATATTAAAATTTCGTCATATACTCATATGTAAAACTGTTAAGAGTAAATGTTATTTTCGATAATGAATTATTCAATGACTTCCAAAAACATTTAAAACAACCGTTGAAAACACGATACTGTTTATTTTTTATTTTTTCAATAATTTATATAAAAGCAAAACGGTATTGTGTGTACAATGCTTTATTCATTAGTGTTTTCTTACGTGAAAAGAATGACCCTACTTTAACACYACAAATTTCTCACATCAACAGGCCTATCGATCACGTTCATGTCTGACAGAAGTCCACGTTTCACAAACTATATACAATAAGTAAAATTTATTCAAAATGGTCCATATAATATTTTTATATATATATTATATCATATTAYGAAGTAGTGAACATTTTTTTCTTGAAAAGAAGGGGATACTTGTTCATTTTTTCCTTTTCAATGTACTTTGCGAGTAAATAATATAACAGATGTTGAGGAGAATCAATAAAAATGATTAAGAAATTATGTAAAAATTAAAAATAATATTGTTTTATATTGGTTAATAAAAAAGGTACATGATATTGTATATTATTTTCTGGACATACCTAGGTATAAAATGTATTAAATACACTTTTATTACACGTTAGGTTATATTATAATAATAGAATAAAAATAAAACACTTTTAGTTAAATGTATAATATAATGATTTTGATGTTTGATTAAAATTTTTATGCGAGATATGTTAGAAATATTATTACATACAAAAAGGAGCTAGTAAAATAAATAAATTCAATACATTTTTTTTAAGTTGGTAATTGGTATTATAACCATATATTTGAATGCAATAAATTATAAACGATTTCTAATTAACTTGTTTATGTAGTATGTACCAACTAAAAATTATGAATTTAAGTATTTAAGGTAGGTACCTACTTGTTATGTAAAATGAATAAATTATTTAGTTACAACGTAGATTAGAGGAATTTTATTAACCACAAGTTGTTTTATTATTATTACGAGTCAAAAAACAGTACCGATGTGACCTGACAATTGACAACACAAATTCTAAATTAAAATCTATAAAACTGTCATTCAACATTTTTTATAACACCTTATAAACAGCTAAAAAGCGAATCCGTCATTGATTCACATTTAACATCGAAATGATTTACGATTCGATGAATTTTAGGGGTTGTAATCATTATACTCGAGGGTGAGGGTAACTATTGCAGGATATTCGGTAGTCATAACAGTGTTTATTCACGCCACTTACACGGAAATCCCATAAACATCGGCAAATCGAATCATGTTTTGTTTTTAGCTATTTAATCGTTTCAATTATCCTTTTTTATTAACAACCTTTTTTGTTAATTTCAACCTGTCCTCTGTTTTATGGGTAGGTACCTTCGGCGGTCGGCAGAAGCGGCGTCGGCGACGACGGTCGGTGAGAAACTCCGATTTATCTGGCGGTGTATGTGTATACACACAAAAACACGATAATGATAAATCGACACGGTCAAACCCTCAACCGAATGTCAAACACAAATTGATGGGTTATTCGTCTGGGAAAAACAAAACCACGCTAATAATTTATACGTACGGGAAGTCCATTTCATACAGAACAATCAAAATTGCTTTCCGAAGTCTGTCTGGCGTTATAGAAAACGTTTAAGAAATTTCAAGTACACGAGAGTTAATTATATTGGCGATCATTTATAATTTGTTTCAATTAAGAGAAAAATGATATACCGGTATACACGTAATAATCCATGGCGTGGCGTTGGCAAGTTAATCACGATTCACAATTCACGGTGTTACTGCAGTTCTCTTAAATACTGTGGTAATTGTAGTTATACCGTATATGTGTACATTTGATAATTGAATATTTTGTTCGGTACCTACCTAATCCTTCTATATAATTTATAATATATTGTACATTTTCCTCATGATTTTGTATAAAACATCTTCGCGTGTAAAGTTGTGATATTATTATAAAAATAATAATTTGACAACAGACATTCTTTGAGGGTACTTACTGGGTTTATGTGAAAAGTTACCATATAGAGTACGAAATATTTTATTAAAAAAAAAAAAAACGGTAGTTTTCTCTCCCCTTATATGTGATTCAAACACACAATAAACGGGGTGAATTTAAATTTATAAAGTGATAAATGAAGTAACACATGTATGAGTAGTCAAAAACTTTTGATGTGTTCTTACTTCTTATGTGCTCAAAGAATGGCAATTCAAAAGTTATTGTTTATAAGTATAAAATTATACATAAGTACATTAGTAATATCAAGACATTATCAGTTTATAAAATGCAAAGTTAGTAAATAATACAATTAATTTTTAAAATGATAATAGGGTCAGCGGAAATTATTCATGATTTAACATAACATATAATATATTAGTATCAAATAGGTAAGGTTACTACTTATAATAGCCTATAGGTACGAATTATAATTATTGGAAATTTCTATCTACCATTAAAATAATATATTTATTAACAAAACAAAATAATGAAAGATTGAAATTTTTAAATTTTAATAACATTATACATACAATTATATGATAATCTAGTACCTACTACTCGTATATAACACTTCTAATTTTTTAGTTTTAAATTATAAAGAAATTATTTGAGTGTTTCGACTTTTAAAACTGATCACTAAATTCCATTTTATAGAACAAATGTAGTGTACTTGAGCCGATGACACAATGTGAAACTACTTATATATTACTGCTGTGCCAGTGTCCCTCGTCAAAACTAAGTTTACGGCCTAAACAATATGTATACGGACTGCAATGTCAAACTTTCTTAGACGTGCTGTGTAAGTAAATACACTGATCCGTAAAATATAGATATAATAATGGAAAAGTGTTTCAAAATGTGATGTACATACATAATTTGTAAGACATTTAATATATCTTATTGTCGATTTTTGGAGGTTACACCAGTAGCGCACTATAGCGYCCACGTAGGGTACCAATAAGTAGTGCAATTGCACTGGTTCCACGTGGGTCTTAGGGCCCGAGGCCCGGGGCCCACTATGCCCATATATGCATGACTATACTCATTTGGATCATTTAGGAGCTCTATAATATTATATAACTGCACTGGTTCATCAAAAACCCTGTGGGTTACATACTAAAAACCATAAAGATTCACTTAGAGAGACTTTGAAGGATTTTTAAGAACTCCTTACATTTTCGCGTTCGTATATAACATAATATAGTATATATGTTAACGTATACGTTAAAAAAAACGTTCGATACGGTAAATGTGGCTGTTAGCTTACGGACGATAATAGTCGTATAATATAATCTATTTGCGAAACTTACCTTGATGGTTGTTCTTCCTGGTGGTCTTTTTTTCCTTCATCCAAGGATACTCTTGCTGTCCACCGCCTCCGACGGCACCGACTCCACCACCGCCGACGCCAACCTGCTGATCTGCCTGCATCTGGTACATGGCGGCAGCGGCTGCGGCGGCGGCAGCGACCTGGTGGTGCTGCTGCTGGTGCTGAGGATCCACCGGTGACACGTTCTCGTTACCGCCGCCACCGCCTCCCATCACGTGGTGCATCATGTAGTCCGGCACGGCGGCGGGTTGATAGTCGGCCGCGTGGTGGTCCATCTGCGGCCCGGCCGCGGACACGGCCGCCATCCAGAACCCGTTGCCATCCTGCAAACCGGCCGCCACTGGTGAGTCCTTCATGGACATTGCTGTCGCCGCGTACATGTCTCCCTTGCGGTCGCCACCGCCGCAATCATCGTCATCGTCGTCGTCGTCGGCGGCCGTGGCGGCGTGCAGGGCGTCGGCCAACATTTGAGGACCACCGAACGCGCCCAACATWAGCTGCTGCTGTTTGCCGGGTCGCAGATCGGCCTCGGTGTTTTTTAACATCATTCCGAACGCGCGAGGAATGTATTTTTCACAAGAAAATCGTCGTGTTACTTTCAATATCACCGCACGATAATGTCACACTAATTAACACGTTTATCGCGATTGATTTATCGACGGCGTGTAATGTGTATATTTAATAATATAAGAGTAATATTTATTTTTTTATTATTAAAGCATAGTAATATGACCGAGTAATAGTAGTACTGTAGTAKTATAGTAGTTTTAGTAGTAGTATTTAGTATAATAGTAATAGTATWTAGTGGATGTAGTACAATAGTAGCATTTTACAATTAATAATTTTACACATCAGTAGTACCTAGTATAATGATAATATTATTGTAGTCGTTGTATAATAYAATATTTTCTAATGTCAGAACCGATATAATATTTTAGTAACGGTTTTTACGACGCGGCGTGTAACGACGGCAATTAATAATGAAAACGAAATAAAACTCGCGCACATTCATCGCACCATCATCATCACAATAATTACATAATATAGGGAAAGCACTGGCTGCAGAGTAACCGACGTTTAGCAGACGTCGTGGTCGAACGTAGTCCGCCGACTGTCGGCCATCGGACGCGTATGTCGATGTCGTCGTCGTCGTCGTCGTCGTCGCAGTCGCCGCAGTCACAAGCAGAGTGTACCTACAGTGCCAGTTGCGGCGGATGAGGCGATACGCCGACGATGGCGCGCGACGGACCGATAGTTTTATTATTATTACTATTGCCGTTCCCGGTACTACCGCACGCCGCGCGCAGCACACGAACCATACGCCGTGCGCCTGCGCCGCGATCGGTACAACGGGGCCGCCTTTTCTCTGCCGCCGCCGCCGCCGCTGTCAGTCACCACCACCGCCGCCGCCGCACAGCAGCCRCAGCCGATGATTTTTCCCGCGCACCACCTGTCAATCATTACACACACGCGTGCGCGCGCAATCGTTTTACTYTACACTCTCGCTTATAGACGACATACGGAATAATATCTAATGTGATATTTTTTTTTTTTTATTAACACGATATTGTTTATACTAAGTATACCTACTTGGTAGTAGGCAGTGTATCGAAAGAATAAACATAAACAACTGCTTATTTACCTACGAGCTACGAGGCTATGCGTATTACCTACAGATAATATATTATTATAACGAAAATTAATCGAATATATAATTTGTACTCTTAGAATATTATACAAGCAAGTACATATCAAATATATAGGTATAAATTGACCTGATTGAATCCATGAGGAATACAACTCAACAATTTTTTTCATTATTTATGGAACGGCGTGTTATTAATATAAAAATTTGATTATTTATGATAATTGTTATTAAATATGCCGGGGATAATCCCTATAATATTATAACTGTTATAAACTTCTAACTGTTTTAAAATATAGGTAGGTAGGCAATCAATTTTCATTTTCTATCACAAATATGTAAGTTGAAAGACTCGGTTTTAACAGACTTTATTACTCGACTAATACTTGGGAAAATTGTATTAATGTAATAGTTATTGTTACTTGACCAATAAACTCGGTACTCTGCAATTTTTTAATAAATAATGAATAATCTCAGACCATCTTTATTTTAAATAAATATAAATAATACTTATTTGTTGGTGCATTAACATATATTATAACCAATATTTTATCGCTAATTGTAAGTAAGTATTTTGTAGTACCTATTTAATCACATCATATTTTTGATAAAAAAATATGATATTATTAAATTAAACTTTTTATTGTTGTACTATTTCTATACACACCTAAATTTTAAATTGTTAGCAATTTTTCACTGTATATATAGTTATGTAGGTAATATATAGTGAATACTTGACATATAATATGGTAACTTAAACCTACTGGTCCTACTATTAGTTATAAATCAATACACTTTGATTTCATTACTATATTGTCATATAATTTTAAGATCCGAGTCATTTTATTTTACATACGAATTAAATTGTAATTATTAAATTAAACGTTTGGTATATMAAAGCAATTACAACTATATTGTTTACAAATATTTATATTTCTTAGAACTTAACATGGAATAAAGTAATATAAATACAATCGCAGGCTAATTACCAAACTGTTGATAAATAATCAATAAAAATATGAATTTTTGAAAATATTTTCATCCATTTCCAAAAAACCCATTTTAGATAAATTTGTACATAGTGACTTTTGCGACAGTGACATCGGTGATAGTTGTAATAATTTATTATATTAAACCGAGTATAATATGTACCGTGTGCAGAGGTGGTGAACTTATACGGCATGCGTGCCAAAGGTGGGGCACGTTGGTCAAATTTTAATGGTACCTACGTGAAAAATTAAGATCATAAAAAATTATGCTAATTATAACATTTTGATTAAAGATAAATTCAAAGAAACAAATTGTATACATTTTAAAAATGATAATATTCCTATGTAAAATGTATTATGTTAGGWACTAAATTATTACTATAATAGTTATTATATATGTACTATTTAGAATCTACGACTTTGGGCACTTGAAAAATTTTCAAAACCTTGGTTGGAAAATTTTGACACGACCCAATATATTGGTTCAATTATACATACGTAATATATTAAAAATTTAAGAATTCGTCTTCGGAATTCGGATGTAAGTACGTATAGATAATAACCTACGGATGCATGTCCAATTTTAAATCTGCCAAATATATCCTAGGCCTTCGTGTCTACTCCCGGACATGGCACCATACGCGAAAAAAAAACCAAGAATATAATTGAGTTATTATCGAATTCGATTGGACTACAATAAACTCTTGATTTTTAGGAAAAAAGTGGATACCTATAATACAATATAATAATTAATATAAAACAAGACTTTTATAGATATAATATGTGTATATCTATATAATAATAGACAAGTTGCGTAGATGGGAATCTCGTTCTGGGTAGATGATCATAGAAAGACGAGAGGATAAGGTGCTAAATATAGATTTTGCATAAATATAATTATTAGGTATACCTAATATAAAAAATAAACTATTAAAATAGGTAGCTATATAATATTAACATTTACTTATTCTAACTAACAAGTAACAAGTATAATGTACTTAAGTAACATACAAAACAAAAATAAGTCACACGGATATTGCGCGCCTATTATATTAATACGAAGAAAAAAAATGAACAAATTAATAACATTCGACGACTATATAGTGACGAAATATAATAGGTATATGGTCTTAGAACTTTATGTGTAATAAGATTCGGAATGATTTTTTTTTTAATAATAGACGAATTTTTGATAGTGGGGAAAACTCGGGTGGATTTTATTATACTTCACTATTGCACCTATATTAAAATATTATAAAATTGTTGTATGATATCATATACCAGGCCGCAAYGACGACGATGTTTTAAATGATCCATCGTACAATCAACATCGGTCGCCGGTCGTCGATGTTGTGGCTGTATTTTTTTTCCTCTTCTGAACGTCGCTCCTTAAAAAATAAACCCCCATCCGCCGACAACCGTCACTGCCATATAGACAATGAACGCCGCCACGTACAGGTGACGTTCTGTGTATGTGCGTGTGTGTGTGTGTGTGTGTGTGTATGTGTGTGTGTGTGTGTGTATGAGAGTGCGTGGGCCGTGGCGAAGGCTGCGCGGGGTCGGGTCGACTGGCCAATCGGCGACACGCGGTCCGACTGCAAACCACTCCTCCGCCGCGTCGTTCGTCCGTTTCGGTTCCGACTGCGCGCTCGTACGCCGCACTGTTATTATTATAGTCATGTCTTTCGTTAGTCGACCGCACCGAACGGTTTTCATGAGTCTTACTCCGGTCGAGGCACGTCATGTAAATAAAACAGAAAACGTATTTATAACAATGCCCGGAGCTTTGAATGGATTGACATTAAATACAATATATTACGCCTAATATAGAAGTATTATCATTCTTTAACCACTATAATATACGCTATGAATATAATACGATATGCCYACTTACCTTCGAGATTATTTTAATATGATAACAATAAGATACTTATCATTAGTAATTTAGTTCTATAATATATCATTTAGCATAGACAGGTCAAATTTGATACTATAAGTTTTACTGAAAATTCTATACGGCATATCGACAATATAACGCATCATATAATAATATGTATATTAATAATCAGAAAACTTAATTTTAAGCATGAAGTGTGTATCTACAAGGTGCGAAAATATCTATTATTTTGTATAGGGTGTACCTATAACCTA